AAGCGCTTTTGTTTCCTTGACCTTTTTAATTGGTGTATCACCAACAAATACATTTGGTGCAGCAAGTAAATTATTTATGTTGTACCGAGATCCTATTAATAGATACTCAGTTTTGACTAGATTAAGAGATAATCTATTTGCAGTGAGCCATTGTTTAACGTTGGTAAGGTCATGATTTATGGCCACCTCTACATCTTGGATTGACTTGCCAGATACAGTTAGAGTCGTATCGTCGGCAAACATTCTTGTCGACGAGAACTCCAAACTGTTAGGCAGATCATTAATGTAGATCAAGAATAAGAGTGGGCCAAGAATTGAATCTTGAGGGATTCCACATGTAACCAACTTCGTGCCCGACAGAGCGCCATTAACGGAGCACATTTGGGTTCTATTCGCTAAATAGGATCCTAAAAGGTTTAATGATGGCTTCTGTAGGCCATAAAGATCAAGTTTCGTTAAGAGGATGTCATGATTTATGGTGTTTCTTGTGTTTTCCCATTTCCTAACTTTTTCATTGAGTAATATTTTATAAATATATTCCAATTCCACTCAATATCTTGGCAAAAATAATAGAAAATGATCAGTGTTTCAAACGTACCAGTAATTCGACTAAAGATTCGACTATTTTGGCGAGGTAGTCAACAAATTTGCGCGCTCCTGTCGCGCCTACGCACATAATTTAGATACTTGTATTGCATGAATTTAATGAGATCACGTACCGTACGTTAAGTTTTGATGTGTCACACTACAAAACCATTATATTTTATAAAGTATGAAAGCTGGATTCCGTATTCCATGATTAAAATAATGGATTCCGGATCCGAGTCAATGGATTCCGGATTCCATGTCATGGATTCCGGATTCTGAAGTGCAAATTTTTGTTGGATTCCGGAATCCGGATTCCTTTACATAGGGAGAATTTTATAGTACATGAGCCGAAAGCTCAGAATTAAATGTAATACATGGTGTATTTAATATCTACAAGTTGATCCTTATTTTTAGACGTATATTTGTTGTTTTTTAGTTTATGTTTTTTATCTGTTTTAGTTTGCGGTACAGTCCGTAATAAAAACCTAAATAAACTGTTGGTAAATATTAAATAAAAAGAGGGCTCCTTTGTGCACATGCGCAGATCGGACTGTACCGCATCTTTAAAGCCGGGTTACAGTCCGTAATGTAAACAAACGCTTTGTTTACATTTTGAACTGCTATATTTCTTAAAATATTATGAACTGTCAGAAAATTTAACACTATTTTGGTTCGCTATACTTTTAAATAAGTATGAGCTAGTGTTTATGTTCAGAAATATACAAAACATGCGAAATTTGCACAATTTTGAAATCCAGTAGTCTACCTTTGTTATGAGCAGAACCGATGCGCAGAACGGACTGTAACCCGGCTTTAAGTAATCTCGTTTCCAGAGTATGCCTGTTCGCGGGTTAGGTAGTGCCACTACATAACCCGCGAACAGGCATATTCTGGAAACGAGATTGATCTTTAAGGGGATGGCAGAGGGGGAATGGGGATATGTAATGACGAATATGGATACTTTGGTAGTAATGAGGGGTAAATGGATATAAAAGTTGCTGTGTCGATTGTCGATTTGTCGAAGTGAGTTACTGGTTGATAGGGGTGGGCGATACCAGCTTTTTCATTCGATACGATATTTGCTCAATATTTGCAGGTTTTTTTCGATATCGATACCGATATCGATATTTTCCCAACTTGAAATCATTAACAACGGCCACAACGCTAACAATATAAACATTGAATAATATATGTCAGTGATTGCAACCAACATAACCAGAAACTCCCATCCTTCCCGTGGACCATTATAGCACCATAGAAAAT